GAAGTAAAGACAGGGTGAATGTCTGGATTTGCAAAGGGTCTGGAGATGTGAGGAACGCCCTGGTCATAGATCTGCACTGCAGTTTAATCCTCTATATATACACAAATTATAATCTCAATAATCCACATTTAGTTGTGAATTAAGATTTTGCATCTCGCATCCTATGGAAGCTGCCCTCCTGAGTGAGTAAAAGTCAATTAAGCTCCGCTGTCAAGGAATGTCCTAGTACCATTTGCTGCTTTGCTGATTGGTTGGTTTGTTTTTTGTGGGAGTGCATGCACAATCTAGAAGTTAAAATACACATCAGATTAAATGTACAACATCCTGCTAAAACGTATTTGCTTTTTTTTTTGCTCATAAGTAAGGGGACCCATCTACAACAGTTTTGTTGGTATCTACTGCTTTCTTATTTTTGCTAGCTCTCTTCCTTAGTGTTTTTTTCTCTTTTTAACAAAATTAAGGTTGCTCTTTTAATTTCAAATACACCTGCCAGATGGTGGAGTCACCAGATGCTGTTGCACATTCCTTATAATCCAATGACTAGGGGCTGCTGGAAGTTACAGTCCAATATTTGGAAGGGTGCTTTTTCCCCGCTCTCACCCTACTCCTTCACACAGAGGCCTTCTTTTATTACTGCTTCTTTTGCTCCTATTAACATCTGACACACACACACATGTCCAAATAGTCTTCTGTAAATACACTCACAAGGCCCAAAAATGCAGGTAGAAACCAGGATGTATCAACGCATGAGCTGATGCAGGGCTGAGGAATTTGTGGCTCTTTAGATATCACTTAACATCTGCCCCAGACAGCCTGGATGGGGATGATGGGAGACAAAGTTCGAAATCTGGAGGAATAAAAGTTCACCAGCCTTGGATCAATGGAACAGATTGTCCTCCAAAGACAGAAGGCTGTAGTTTGATGGTGACACACGTACTACTGATATCGCAGATCGAAAGAGATGCAGAAGAAGCAATAATACCAAACGCAAGCAGCTGATGGGTATCTCAGTATCCGAAGCTGAAAATATATGGATTATTTTATTGTGTGAGGCAGTTTTATCATTTGTTTTGCAATTACATCAGCTTTATAACATTTCATTCACTGCCCGCCAGCCACCCCAAATCTCTTTGCTCCTCATTTGTGACGAATTTAGAAAGGGATGGCATTTACTTTCAGGAAATTAAAACCCAGCAATCACCAAGTGACTCATCAGTAGTACTTGTCACTGTTGGTGAAGATGGTGCCTTTGTCCTATTTCTCAAAATAAGAGGAAGCAATCTCTTCTGCAGCTTAGTCATAGTGAGATAAGGGTTTTGAATGACAGACTGCTTGTTTTCATGTAATTCTGCATTACATTGTATTTTAGTTTGGGGTGGGTTCCACTGTAAATTAGATTTTAAAAGCCTAGAACTACCTTAACCTCTAAAATAAAAGTATCAAAGGTCATTGGCCCTACAGTTCATGAGTAAAAAGCTATATTTTTACTGGAAAAATTCATGGGATAGATATCATGCAAGGAGGGTAGTTTGCTGGTATAATTTCAAAGGTTGTGATAAAGTAGTGCAATTACAGGGTGCTGTCTCATAGCGGCTCAGTCTACTTATCCATCTAGCCCAACAGCTTTCTGGGGTGTCTGGTAGATGTATTTCCCATCCCCTGTCTTCACAGCCCTTGTTAACTGCATGGGCGAGGGTTTCCAGCGGGGAACTCTGGCATGTAAAGTATGTGCCCAACTGTTGAGCTACAATGGGCCATGCAAAGGGGAGTCTGGGGCACATATGATACTGGGACCCCTGCCATTTCCCCAAAAGGATTCATCACACGTATGCGGGTTCTGTTTACCAAGGTGGCAAGGTTGGGACTGGCATGAGGGCAAATAGTACTTGCAGGAGCTAAGGCAGAAGGCCCCTTTCCCTATGGGAGTCCTAGGCAAAGGTGTTGCCTTCTAACAGTGCCGGCAATCACAATGAGATGTGGCTTTGCACTTGAATGGATCTTGAATAACCAGTAGCAAAGGGTCTGTTTTCCATAAACTCTGTGTTATAAACTGGTTGGTATATTATTGCTTATATTGTTTTCAGCCTCCACTGAACATTTTGGTTAATGTTTATAAACACCTACCCAAGTTGAGAGAAGAATATGATTGATCTTGTCTTTCTACATGAATCTACTTGGCCACTGCATTTCTTTTTTCATCGGAAGCCTTATTCCACATTTTTTGCTCTCTTCAGAGATGTATTTGCCTAGGACATGAGTAGGGTCTTTTTGGTGGTAGCACCCTCATTCTGGAACTCACCAGGGAGGCTTGTACTCATGGAGTTCATAGCTGACCTCAGATCTGAAGCAGGAATGTGGCTCAAATATCAAATTTTCATGGGGAAAATTGTAATATTAGCTAGGCAAAGCATTGAATGGCTGTAAATAGAAAAAAGATCAAGGTGGCTTGAAAAAGAGGACAAATTTCCATAGTACAAGAGAAACCTTGGAGCCATTCTAAAAAGTGACAACCAGAGGAAAAAATGGAAGAGTATAGATTATGAAAACTTTTTGCCCTTTCTCTAAGTATGCAAGCCTTTTCTTACTCTTGTTTGTGATTAGATTTGTGAAAGTTAGATTGATCAGTATCCCTGTATACCTTTCTAACAGTTGTGAGCTGAATGAAGACTTGCTATCTTTTGATCACGGACATATAAAATGTTTACAAAGAAAAGACTGTATAATAAGGGAAAGCTATGCATTTTTTTGGACCTTTATTCCTTTCCCACAAAATTTTTCCATATTCTGATTTCATCTAATCTTTAAACAAGGTGAAAGGAAAAGAAAAACAAGTATCAGCAAAATTTATGCACAATTCTAAAATGGTTGACTTTATTCATACAACAGAAACAGATCTAACAGAAGAAACAAACCAGATTACACCAATAAATTATACCAGTTACCAGTACAGTTAAATATACAATAAAATAGGGTTTTAAAAATTAAACATAATTTTAGATTATGCTTACAACATATAAGTTGTATTTGAGGGAAATTCTGAGAACAAATACCTACTTCAGGAAAAGGAAACATTTGGTATGTTGAGATTCCTGAAACTGATGAGATTCCTGAAACATACAAACCCATAATTCTGCATCCTTCTTTCTTACCTTCCATTTCCCCTGTTCTTAGCAAAAATAACAAAAACATATCTGCAAGTCTACTTATATATATGGATTTTTGCAGACCATTTAGGAAAATAATTAAAGAAATTATCTACAGGTTCTTTTCACATGTATAATTCTGACTGCAGAAATACAGTCCCCCTTTGTATTACAAGAAAGGCACTACAACCTTATACATGTCACCTCACTAGTGACATTTCCCAATCTTGTACAGTGAAGGTAGGGAAGGTACAGCCGTCCAGGTATTGCTGGACTGCAGCTTTTAAATAGTCTTGTCAATACACTTTAACAGAGCGATCATGGGAATTAGAGTCCAGTAACATCTGGAAGATTGCAAGTTCCATATCCCTGTCAATAGGAAGTACTACCAATAGTATTGACAGCTGGTGCATACTGTTTCTCCTTCTCAGTCAAAACCTTCCATTGATAAGCCAATCAATGTGGATGAAACAGCAGCATGTGAAACAGGAGAACTGTAATCCTTATGAGTACAAATGGACAGTTATTATACTGCTGCTTGAATGATATGAGTAATTATACAGCATGCAAATCCATGCAGAAACAAGAAGCATTTAAGTAAGAAATACGCAAAGCTGTACATATGTAAAGACAAAGGCTGATTTGAAGGGAGATTAACAATTCTGAGGTTTATATCAGAATTTTACAATACTATTATTATTTTATACTGCCATCAGACTACACAGGACTTGCACTATCACTCAAAAAAGGAGCCACAAGAAACATCAAATATACTTTGACAAGGAAAGGAGAAACATTAGACTAAAGACTGTATACACTTGGAACTCCTGGCACAACAGAGAGGGTGAGGCTAGATTTGTCTCTTTTCCCACAAAATGTGGGGTAAAAGGATTAGATGGACTCACAGGCACACATACACACACACAGTCCCCATGTGGACACACGGGCACACATACACACACACAGTCCCCATGTATCACAATCTTGATTAATACTTGGTGGGAAGACACCGAAAACTGATTACAGAATTAGGCAACACACAGTGGGCAGGATCTAACTGCTGGTTCTGACTAGAGTAAACCCATGAAACCAATGGAATCTATACTAGTCCTGGCATTTTTAATAACTGATTCACTCAGTCTTTTCTAGTTGGGACTAGCGATGGGATATAAGCAGTGGGTTGCCTCCAAGAGGCATGGATAACAAGGACTGAACCACATGTACAAATGCAGTTTATTTCTATTGGGGATAAGGACTTAGAAGGGCAGGCTCTGAAGGTGAGAAACGGGATGGATTGTACTTATAACAGAGCCAACCTGGAAAGAGTCCTAGTCATGAGAGTGGAGTGTGATGGGAAATTGGAGGAGCCGTTTAAGAGTGCAAGAGTCTTGTGGGGAAATGAGAAGTGCTAAGATCATAAGGAGGAATGTAGTAAAACATAAGGTCAAAGAAATAGGCCAGGTCTGGACTTCTGCATAACGGGCACTTCAAACTTAAGGTCAAAAAAATAGGCTAGGTCTGGACTTCTGCATAACGGGCACTTCTCCCATCTGCTCCACAATAAGTAACAAGTTACATATACTTTAATGATGCACATCTGAGAAAGGAGCAGCAGCATCCCTTTATGCTAATAATGAATAAAGTTTTTTTCGGGTCTATCAAAATTTTTTTCAGGTCTATGACCATATAATAATAAAACTTAACTATTTAAGGAATAAAGGTAAAGTACCTGCCCACAATTCAAAAACAAAAAACAAACCTCCCTGTCTGTTTTACTGGAAACTGGGAAAACAGGAACAGCCTTCTATAAGCATATACAGAAATACTGAAATTGTGAACATATATTTGGTCTTCTGCACAAATTTGTTCTTTGAAGTCAAATTTCATAGTTTCTGAATTTCCGAAGGAGTTCAGATGGTGTGTCACCAGACCAGCGGAAACGCAAATGCCAGCAGTTCAAATCAGAATACCCTGTAGTGAAAAAAGGGGTAGGAAGGAGAAAGAAATGAAGAGCAGCAACTTGCAGAGATGAAATTGTGTCTTGATTTATCACAGTGGGCTTTAAAAAAGTTACACTCTTAGACAGCTCTACAAAATGACCTGAAATTCCAAGTTGACTTCTGTTGGGCCTACCGTGAAAATAATTATTTTTAAAATTAAAAGCAAAAAAGTGTGCTGCTTATATACCGCCCCATAGTGCTTCAAGCATTCTCTGGGTGGTTTACAAGTTAATTATGCAGGCTACACATTGCCCCCCCCCAGTGAGCTGGGCATTCATTTGACCGACCTCGGAAGGACAGAAGGCCGAGTCAACCTTGAGCCTTGGGATTGAACCCCAGGTCATGAGCACAGTTTTGGCTGCAGTACAGAGGTTTAACCACTGCACCACGAGGCTCCTTAAATGAAATTAAATGAAAGCTCCATTTGTCATACTTGAATAAACACCATTTGATACTACAGCCCTCAAGGGATTATTATGGCTGGTCCTTACTGAGGGATATGAAGGATAAGAAACATTATGTCAGGGTGTGGTAGGCTTATTACGAAATACTGTACAATTGTATCATACACATATAGACAAGATCTGAAATGTGTGCGCTTTCTAACCTACAGCTGGATTTGATCTGTGCACCTTTCAAATGATAAAGGCCATATAGTTTCCATGGGTCATGGACACTATAAGAAATGTATCTGAGATGGATGCCAACCCCACTGAAGATGTGTCCTGAAAACAGATCTAGAATGACTTCATATTTTGCTGATAGGTTAGCTAAAATTACATGCGTCTAGCATTGAAGCATTTGGTACCACAGACCACTTACCTGGGGAATCAGGGCTCTTTGATGACAGCAATATCTCCTCAGAGGGCTCAAAACCTCCTAGCACCTTTCTTTCACTCGGTGATTTGCCCTGGCTGTTTTCATCTTTCTGGCAACAGTTGTCAGCCACCTGGTCATTAAGATTTACATCAGGAGCTTCCAGCATTGGTTCTTTTTTATCTCTGACGGCCCAGTGCATGGACTACAAAAACAAAACAAGAAAGCATGTCTGACCTGTATCACAGCAGCCTTTGCTTGCTAAAGATGCACTAAACAACAACAAGGGGTAGGGCCAAAAGGAGGCAGGTGATGGAGGTCCAGTCTGATTTCGCTGAATTCTGATGGAATTTTGCGGAGGACCCATACATATGGCTGGAGGGGAAATGAATCATTAACACACTTGGGACTGTATTTGGGACCTGCTGCATAGAAAGCAAGTGTTTCTGCCGCTATTGTATGCACTGTCCCATGTTTCATTCCTTAAGTGAGCAAAGAAAGAGATGGAGCTGCTCTAATGCTGTGACAAACCTTCTTTTCTGACCTACCTCTCTATTAGGACCTTAAATTTCACAAAAATAAATGAGCTTATGAGCTGTCTAAAAATTATTGGCCTAGGTACTGTTAAAAAAAATAGAGGAGGTAGAACATCTAGAGCACTTGCAATTCTGCACCTCAGTTGAGACGCAACAAACAGCTTGAATTGTGTCCCCAATACACAAGGTGCCCTGGAAGTACTGGACTTTGCAAGCTTCAAGAGCTTCTCCTCATGTCTCCTCCTCCTCCTCAAGCTCTGTCTCTCCCTCCATTTCCCTGAAGGAAGCCCCTGGATCCTCCTGGTCTTTCTCCTTTATTCCATCCTCTGGCTTGAACTCTTCCCATCACAGGTGGCCTTTATCTGCCAGCTCCTTTCCAAGCACCTGTTGTCTCTCCCTCTTGCCTTAGAAGGGCTCCAGGAGCCATGGCCTCCGACAGCCCACCCAGGACATCAGCAGCAACCCCCTCATAGTCAAGAATTCTGAAAGCAGAAGTCTAACATCTGGAGGGCCGGAGACTGAGAACCCCTGGCATAGATCATACAAGTGTAGAACAGTCTGATGTGACATAAAACTAATTTAAATATTCCTATATTAGAATGTACTTATTTTTCATGCCATGCCAATTATGTCCATAATATTAACCATTCTCTCACTACTTCACTTCCCATAAACCGGCATAATTATTTTATTTCCCACGAAGAACAGATGTATTCAAGAAAACTAACTGTCTTGATGGAGTCACTCAGAGCCTCCCACTGCTGGAATGGGATTGTGATTTTGCTTCTCCGCCAATAGTCGTAACGAGCACGGCTGTCTTCATTAGTGAGAATTTCTTTAGCTTGCTGAAGCTTCTGAAAATTCTCCACTGCAAACCAGAGAAAGGACAATGTTTTTTTTAACTTGTTCTCATATTTTCACACATTTAATTAGAGTAAATTCCTTCTGAGATCCTGAATCACCATCATCCAATGTAGCTCTTGCCTGACGACAGCACTTATATTTGATAAGGAAAATAAGGAAGGGATAGTTTCCAGTGGCAGCGCAGGAACAACCAGCCAAGGAGTCTTCAAGATTCCCCACAGTGCTCAATTTGTATACATCACACCTAGAACACAATATTAACTTGATCCCTATTACAGTGACCAGCTTGTTTTTTTCCAGCCTTTGAAGACGGTCCGGCGAATGCAACTGGCACAGAACCGGGCTGTGCGGCTGGTAAGCAGTGCCGCTGCATGGACTCATATCATGCTGGTTCTGAAAAATTTACACTGGCTGCCGGTTGGTGCTCGGGCCCAATTCAAAGTGCTTACTTTGACATATAAAG